ATTTGGTGGACCTAGACTCATCCAATTGAACTTTTCTGGATTCTAAAAGACTAGTATATTGTCCGTCCTAAAGCTACGGGCCACGTCAAAGTAACGTTCAACGTCCCTGTTTAAACAGCCACCAAGCTAGTGATAGATCAAATGCAGACAGTCCTACGGCGCATGATCATGTCAACAACCACCAACCTAGTGACAGATGCATGGTTAAACAAGCTAATCACTTACAACACTAACACAAGCACTACTTCACATGTGCTAATTTACAACAGATGCACTAACACAATTTTGTCTGAACAGAAATAATGATCATATAGGTTCCAAAATAGTCAAATTTACCATTTTCAGCGAGCCGTTGTCGTAGTTCTGATTTGCTCCGAGATTTACCTTCTAAAATCAGTTTCTGAATAAACAATATGGCAGTTAGAAAGCTCTATGTTTTTTTATAGATGGCCTACACTGCAACTGACTTGATCTAAAAAATCCATAGGCACAATCCATAGGCAAGCACACAACAAATTAAGAAATTGCAGTCAATGGCAGGGTCATGTCTAGGACTCTAGAGGTGGGGCTGATCTGCATTCTGCACTCTGAAGCACAGTAGCAGGCCTATGTGCATCTTTAGGAACAAAAATATCCCTTCTCAAAGAAAAAAGGAGGTCCAATGAAGTTAATTCTTGACAGTATTCTCCAATAGTCTTGATGGAAGATGAGGTAAGTTCCCTACATTTAGATAGCAAGTCAGATATGCAGCTCCATGTTGCTTCTCAATATTGGCATAATAGTAACTAGCCATTGCTGCCCGCGCTTCGCTGCGGGTGATTTGCTTGGTATAGGAAACCTCATATTGCTAATATGTTTTCTCATCGTATTAGTACTTAAGGCTGGTCAGGTTGGTTGTCATTACATGGTGCCTATTCTAGTGGAAAGAAGTATTTGATGGAGTTGGGTTCAAGCAACTAACGCACTTAGATTTGAAGTACAACATTGGATAACATTACATTATAGGCGAAAATAGGAAAACTAAAACACAAATACTTCCCCTAACGGGAGGGTTTACAAAAAGTGAATTAGGATTCATTCTTCTTAGGTGAATCTACAACACGCATCCAATAACTACGGATGACAACAACGACAAGAGGAGCATCCCAAGGCAACTAATCCACCTTGAAACCACGCAGCTTGATTCCTGTGCTCGGTGGATTCTTTTCTTCATCTCCGGATATGGATCTCGCAACTTCTCGCGCTAATGGGTGAGTGAGAGGAACTAAGGGTTCGCTTCTAACACTTCCGAAGGTGGAGGCGTGGCGGTTCTACATCACCAGTTCTCCTTGTTTTGATTGGGTGGATAGGATCCCCTCCAAGATCGGGGCATCCCGCATTTCATCAACAGCGCCCTCCGCTTGGCCCTAGTGAACAAATAGGCCTCACCCAGTTGATGAACATGCCGATCTTCGGCCTCCTTCAGAGCTTCTGACATTGCAGTCTCCCGGCTCTCAGCAGCTGCAGCACTGGCATGCGCTTTGGCGAGCTGCACCTAGAGCATCCGAGTGAAGATCTCGGCTTCTTCGACGCGCCGGAGGCACGCCCTCAGCTCCAAGGCTTGCCGGTCATACTGCTCATCCAGAGCAAGCATGTACGTGGTCAAGTGTACCACGGTAGGACTATCTTCTTGGGCATCACGCCCTTGCAAAGCCTCCATGCGAGCCATCCATGGCCGCCGATTCCTATCCAAGGGTGGAAAGAACCTCATGGGGGTACGGGCAACGGGCTCTTCATAGAGCTGGCAAAGATACCACAAAGCTTTGCGGGCCACAACCTGGTAGGTGTCGGTGAAGCTAAATCCGGTTGCGGTCACACTCCAGGCTTCGGTGATGTCGGGGAACTCTTCACTCTTCCCAATGTAAATGGTAACCTCACACCGATCGATGCCATGTTTCTGATACTCACGGCCCTCATACTCGGGACGATATTTGACTCCGAGCTTTTGCAGGGTGGCGTGCAGGATTCTAGGAAAGGCCTCAACGTTTAGGCAGTAACTACTAACCTAGGTTCCTGCCATTTCTGGTCGTGGCTACAAAGAAGGCCCGAGTAAAAAGCTTGCTCAAAGAGAAAACCTAAGCGAGCTAAAGTGCGACGAGTGGTGGTACCAATGGCCAAGGCAGGCTTTGCTTATAAAGGCCGAGCGGTCTGTGGTCCTGGCGTGGTTCACTAGGGTTCTTGCGCGGGATCACTACGAACGAATCGACCAGATTTCGCCCGTTCGAGGCGAGTGACGTGTGGTGCCATTACTGAGTAGTACGACTGTAGGGCAAGGGTCCGACAAGAGTGCAGAAAAGGGGTACAAGGAGACATGGGTTACTATTGACGTGGTTCATGGGCGAGCGCGGAGCACAAGGCCACAGTGTAGACCTAACTATGTAACAAGCACAAGTAGGCCATGCAGACTACGGCACGCGTGACACCTATGGATGGCGTAGCTGCTAGTAATATGGGATAACAATGCACAAACAGGCCATGCATTAATGCACGTCCTACGCGTTTGAGGTGAGCGATGTCTGAGGCCATTAATGACTAATACGGCTGTAAGCCAAGGTTCCGACAAGAACTCAAAAAAGAGTGCTACCAGCTAAGCCAGGCTCTGCTTATAAAGGCAGAGCGGTCTGTGGTCTTGGCGCGGTTCACCAGGGTTCTTACGTGGGATCACTACGAACAAATTGACCAAATTTCACGCGTTCGAGGCGAGTGACGTGTGGTGCCATTACTGAGTAGTACGATTGCAGGGCAAGGGCCCGACAAGAGTGCAGAAAAGGGGTATGAGGGGACGTGGGTCACTACTGATGTTACTCAGTGTGAATGCGGACCACGAAGGTACAGTGCGAACCTAATTCTGTAACAAGCATGCATAGGCCATGCACACAACGACATGTGTGGCACCTAAGGATGGCGTGTCTACTAACAATACGGCACAATAATGCACGTACTACGTGGCTACACCTCAACTAACCACCTAGGTATGTAGTAGAATCTACAAGATTTTGTTCTTTGTGCCAGCGTGCTGGCACTTACTGGGCCTCATCATTGCATACATATAAGTATATAGTTCCATTGATGCACACGTTCGTGTGTTCACCTCTACGAAGTACAGTGTACCGGCCATTAAGGACTAATACGGCTGCAAGGCAAGGTTCCGACAAGAGGGCAAAAAAAACCACGGGGAGACTTGGGTCATGGTAGGCGTAACCGCAAGCGACGCTAAGCACAAAGCCATTATGGTAGATGTAGTAATGGCGATCAACCCCAACCACCGACCATCCTGGGAGTAACGTGGCCATGCATGTGTCCTAAATCGTAGCAGTTTAAATGGTCCTGCATGGTCCTGCATATTACTTAGAAACTACCACAACGTCCCTACGAGTTCATATTACTTAGGTACTATTACAATAGTACAGCTTGGATGGTGAATCATTTTTATCTGATGGTAAGGAGGAGAGACATTAAATGTGTCCACCAACCCCAGCCACTGCTTCTCGCGCTTCGTTGCGGGTGATGTACTTGCGCTTCGTCGCGGGTGATGTACTTGTTGTAAGAGATTTGAAGTGTTTCAAGTAGAGAGAGAGTACAACTAAGTGAGAGGCAGTGGAACCGGTTTCTTTCTTTCCAGTGCGGCCTTCTGCTGCTTCGGTTGGTTCTTGCGGCTGAACTGAACCCTGTGAGGTTTCTTGGTTTGCCTCAGGCTACTTGGAGGACAGGAGGCCAGCGTGCAACATGGACCCGTACGTGGTGACCTCGCTGATCGCGGAGACAACCATCATGTGGGAGCCCAGGCACTCCAACGGCAGCGGCAAGGGCGCCACGACTCCTTGATTCTCCGGCAGGGACTGACCTACCTCTGTGTGAGAGGCGGGCTACGTAGATGGCAAACGAGGCTGACGCTGTAAGAAACTTGAGATGCCCATAATAATAGCTGCGGTATGCTGGTTCTAGTGTTGGATAACGAATCAAGAACACTTCTTTTGAGCTTTCTTCAAAATTAGCATACTTTTATAAATAGTCTCCTGAATTATCAACTTCAAACCGAGTTGAATGAGCCGAGACGAAGTCAAAGTCATTCTAAATCATTTTTTTCATTTTAAAAGAAAAACGAGTTCCCTAGCTTGTCGTGTGCTTGTGATCGCTGATGCGTGTCGAAATTTCTAGGTTTCTAATTGTTTCCTTCAATCGGCTTATCTTGGCGTACTTGCACAGATGGTTTATGCCACCGCTCTCATTAACATTCAAAAGAACTCGATTCATTTCCACTTTCAAAACATCAACTCGTTTCCAATCCCAAAACATCAAAAATTCGGTGGATGGAGTTCAGAGGGCCATCTATCACAAGAACAGAACATGTATCAGAAGTTCAGAACCACCGGTCACTCGGGCCTGTAAATCATGGAGCTGAACCAACACCGCTGTGCTGATCACATCAAACAAGACCAACACCGATGCAAATATATCCCAACCCACAACCACGATCCCCTGCCATAATGGCACTCGTTATTCGCAATTACAAGGAACTTAAGAAGACAGGGTCTACAACCAGATCACACAGGAATGGTTAATTCTCGGACGGTTGATAACCAAGCCTCACCAAACAGACATCAAAACATTAGTGACAGGTTATACAGTTGAGTAAAATTTTTTTGTTCTCTTCAGAAAGGAAAAAATGATACGCAAATGCTCGAACAAACCAGAAACACTTCTAACAAGATTAGAAGAAGCTTTTCAAAGGAGAACAAGATTAGAAGGAACATGCTCCCAATTACAACACTGTAACAAGATTATTACCGCATGCTGTGCCAGCGGCTTACTCTGCAGTATGGGCAAAAAAACGAGACAGTCTGATACATACATTTTATTCATCGGTGAGATGCAACATGAAAGAAAAACTATGGAACAAGAGGCCGGAATGAGAGTTTGTGTAACCGCCTCAACTCATTCTAAGACACTCTTCAAAATTTTTATGTGATAACGGTCGGGGCAGAGCGGCCAGTGTACTCTTGCATCTTGGAGAGCTTGAGCGCAACAACCTTGAGATGAAACACAAAATTAGAAAATGCAGTTTCACAGAAACCCAATGTATATTCAGCTCTGTGAACCGAAAGGACATGATAGTATCTTACCAACGGAGCAAGGGCATCCTGTGAATCCCTGCCGGTCTTGGAGGAACCCTTCTCGTACTGCTCGATGTAGACACGGATGGTGGCACCAACAGAACCAGTTCCAGAGAGGCGGAACACCTAGAATGCCGAAAATCCATGTTAGCTCACCAGTATGATATAGACAGAGATCTCAAATATATCCATCTGACCAAGGATGAATCCAGCTCAGACTTATCATGTACCGACTGATAATATTGCAAAAAAGGAAATGTATTGTTGACTAGAACAAGGTTTTCACACCACTCCCTTTGTTTTGGTTCAAGACATAAAATAGAGGATATCTAAAACAACACAGGTCTACATACCAGCCGTGAACCATCTCCGAAGAGGTATTGGATGCCCTGGTGCTTGGACACAGAGCCATCAACAGGATCCTTGTACTCAAACTCGTCAGCTACAACTACTTCAGAAACATCAGACCGGATCTCCTTGATCAGCCTGACAGAGATAATTTAGATATGGCACTAAAATGTTCAAGATTGCTTAAGTTGATATATGTATATACGGGAGTACGACCATAATTTTTTGGAGGCACTGATTCCTTTACACTTTAAAAAGTTCCACTTACTTGTTGACATCAGAAAGTGATGACTGCATGCTTCCTAGGTTTGCCATAAGCTCCTTAGCAGCCCCCGCGCCAACATTCTTCACAAACAAACTTGTGCATTTAGAATGATATCTGAAACAGGTGGTACATATATGCAAGGCGAATGTCAAAAAAAAAGTTAGTACCTCATAGTCATAGCGTGTGTAATAATGGCAACCATATGTGGCCCAGTGCTGACGGACAATATCTTCAACACTGACAAGCTTATCTCCTCCAAGGTCGTCCTTATTCTTGAAAGCAATAATAGAAAGCCATGCAAGCACAGCCCAGATGCCATCCTTCTCACGAATGTGGTCAGACCCTGGCCAAAGTAGTACATATAAACATCTCAATAATGTCTATACCAAATACCAACAAGTCCTTGACCTTACTATGGGTTGGATTCATGACCGACTCAATAAAAGGGCGAGAGAGCTCACTATCAGAACACAACAAGTGATTTGCCCCATTCATGTTAACACAATTTACCCATCTAACATGACGATACAAGAGGTGCTAGCATGTTTACTACTGTGATTCGCATGTATATAAATGATAGCCAGAAGCCAAATATTACCAGTGCCAAAGCTTTCTTCACCACAGATTGAGCACATTCCAGCATCCATCAAATTCCCAAAAAACTTCCGCCCAGTAGGCACCTGAAACATGGTTGTTTATGTTAGATTTATCTAGCATTCAAAAATCTTGCAAACCAAGGTCTCAACACTTTACCTCAAAGAACTTGAGATTCAGATTCTTTGCAACAACATCAAAGGCAGCAGATATTGGCATGCTCCTGCAACTACAACAATGGATTATCATAAGCAGCGTATCAGTGCATAGAGAAATTTTAAATGCATCTAAGGTCAGACGGCTGGGGGATGAAAAATTTGGCGTTAGCAGAAACTGTGCTCCAGATGGTATTGTCGCTGATATGTTAAGCAGATTTATTGAGCAGAACACTGCCAGACTTAAAACAGATGGTGCACAAAATGTAGAGAGAAACATGCATTTTTACTGCAGGCTACAGTGAAGTTTACCGCTTTGAGCCTACAGTGAGAGTTTTTACAGCGACAATATATCTAGATGTTATATTAGCAGCACAGTATGGAGGAGAGCTTTTCACCTGGCAACTCCCTTGAGGCCAGAAGCAAAGTAAGGAATTGATTGGACAGCATTGGCCGCGATAATGGCAACAGAGTCCGATGGTGCCACAAAGAATCTATAACAAGGCAAAGGGGGAGTACCATGAATTCCTTGTGCTTTTCTAGAATCCAAAACAAATTTTCTACATAGCGAGATATTCGAACATATCATACCTTTTACCCAGAATCATGTTGCGATCAGCATCTCCATCAGCTGCAGCGCCAAATTCAGGGGGCTCAACATTTGAGGATGACTTTCCAAGATCCATCCGTTCAACCAACTCTTTTGCATAGGTGAGGCTAGGATCCGGATGACCACCTCCAAAGTCCTCCTGCAAAAACATAAGTGATGAATTAATACCAAGCCACATTTTAAGTAGAAATTTGTGACAATAGAAGAGCTCATTACTTTCGGGACACAATTCAACAGCGAGCTTTCATCCAGCACCAAGCTCTTCCACAAAGATGTGTCTGGCATAAGCTCCAGCAACACCATGGAGCGCATCATAACTAAAAGAGCACAACAAGATTTCAGATGTGTTACAGTAATATTATTACGTCAATGGTGACATGGTTGCAGTCATAGATGAATACCAGAATGTAAACTTTTGGGAAGCCAGCAGCTTTTATTGCTTCAAAGTCAAAAATTGTCCGAAATGATGGCGGTAACTAAATCATTAGATTCCCTTGTTACACAACATGATCCAGGTAACATGTAATGATATAAAGCACAGATATTCTCACTTCAATGAAAGAAAACACGAAAGAACAAGCTACTTACTTCATTAACTTGATGTAATGTACACTAGAGTCAAAGACATCCACATCAAAGGGGACATCGGGTCCACTGAAGCTGGTGAGACCGACAACAGAAATATCAACCTGCAGTAGTAAAGTAGGAGAAAATGAATAGTCCACTAACCTGTCAAAAGGAACAGCGAGAAAATACTTAGCAGGCTGGCACTGAATCATACATCTGGAAGGTCTTCAGAGATGAGGTATTCAGAGATTGTCGTTGTATTAGAGAAAATCTTGTCAGTAACGGATTCAGGGGCATCCAATAAAAATTTCAGGACTCTGAAAATATAATTATCAACCATGCTTTCCTGTGCTGACCTTTATCAGTGACGACCATGTGGATCCTCGGCGGCGTTCCCGGCAAGTTGCAGGGCCTCAAGAAAAGGAAACACAGAGATGTCAGTCAAAACCTAACCAAATCGAGAAGGCCGCAACAACCCCATCGAGACTGAACCCCAGATCCAGACTGAGAAGAAGGGGACGCGAACCTGGACGGCGTCGATCTACTCGAAGACAGCGGCAAGGTGGGAGTACCCAGCTTGGGCAGAGATGAAGATGAGGGAAGCGCTTGCAGCAGAGAGGCCGTCGTGACCTGCTGTTGTTGCCGCCAAAGAAGGGCCACCCGGTCCAGCAGAATTTGCCAATTGGACCCGTAAAGCTGCCGGGGGAGGAAGAGGACACGACACGATTCGTCCGCGCAGCGAGGTGGTAATGTTCCGCGCGGCCGAACCACGGCCACGTCGAGGCCCCGGATGGATTCCTTGAGCGCCTCCACGCCGGCCGCGACGCGGCGCGATCCGACGGGACGGACGCGGTCGCGCCGTCGCGGGGTATAGTGGTCGCGCCGTCGGGAGATGGAGGGGTAGGGGAGGGGGAAGCGGGCGGGGGGAGGGGTGGCCGCCGACGCCGGAGAGACGACCGACGGCTGCGGCGCTGACAGTGCCGTGGAGCTCGTCGGGGCTAGGGTTGCAGGGGAAAGAAGGGAGGAGCAGAGGAGGAGGAGGCCGGTGCCAGCGGCGAGATGGAGCTCGTCCGGCTAGGGTTGGTGGCGACGGGGTCGGGTGCCTGTGTGAGTGAGAAATGGAAATGGGGATGGGATGAGAACCGGAGATGGAGACGGTATGGGAGCCATGCCGGTCGGTGCATGGTCGGTGGCCGATCGTACATGGTCGGCGCAGCATTAAATGTTGGCTATCCGACTTGTTTTGCGCTGAGCTCTGCGTTCCAGCAGAAAGTGCTCAGAAATGGAGATGGGGAGGGGACGGGATGGGATGAGAACCGAAAATGAGGACGAGATGGGGCCAGGTGCACACAAGTCGACAAGTGATGCATGCAAAGCGAGGACGGCCCCAGCAGCATGAATGTACGCGTTAGGCACCGGCCATGCATGTCACCCGCCACTGCCTCACCTGGCCGGTTCCTTCATCTGAGCTGTGGAATCTCTATCTAACGCACCAAATAAAAAGAGAATACGTGGACATCCTAGAAGGCCGCCGATTCGGCGTGCCTTCGTATCTTTAATATAACTATGGTACTGATACTTCCAAAAGAAAACTATTGCCTAAAGTAGGAATCTGTAAAGACTACAAGCAACCAGCAAATGCTAACTCCTTCAGATTTGGACACTCGCACAGATTTGAACTCCTTCAGACTTACAAGTAACTTGTTTGCAAGAATATCGATTCCAGATGAAGTGAGAAGAGAACACTCACACAGATTTAGGGGACATAAAGAAGGTGCAGCAGAGATGATTGTGACTAAACCATTATCAGAAAGCTGATAATTTCCACAGGCCAGTTGTGGGCTGTATATCTAGTACAGTAGTAGCAATCATAGGGATGCAAGTTTGTTTATTATTTGGTGGACCTAGACCCATCCAATTGAACTTTTCCGGATTCCAAAAGATAAATGATATGAAAACTGTGCTAAAGCGAAAAAAGAACAGAGCTAGTCAGCCTGTTCGCTTGCTCGTAAACGATCGTAAATTTCCAGCCGGGAACAGTGTTTTTCTCTCACACCAAACCAGCCAGCAGTAAATAATCCACGATACGATACGGCCTCCCGAACAGGCCGAGTATACGCAATAGTCCGTGACAGAAAGTGACGTTGACTTAATGCAGACTACGGCTGACATGGTCCTACTGAGTAAAGCAACTAGCCAGCCAACTAGGACTGGTAGTCTCCTGCCTTTTGGTTCAAAAAAAAAAAAAGCTACAGAGAAAACGAACAGCAACGACGACGATGACTCTCTTTCTCTCTCTCTCTCTGATAACAGACGACTATTTTCGCCATCGGCGACGGTCTTAGACACGTTAAAATATTATTTAGTCCCTTCTCTCTTTTTTTTTGGGACTGCATTATTTGCTATGCTATAGAGCAAATATTAGCCACTTACAAGTCAACAAGACCAAAAGCCACTTGTTTGGCTCTCGCTGACTGGCTGTGCACAGGTGATAGATATATATGACTCCAACGATGCACAGCAGCACATCTATCTTTTGTGAATTTGTAGCCAACTAGCCATGGCCTTGAGAGGTGTTAGCAATTTCGCTACTACTACTACATTGGTCTCCTTCCTTCTCATGTCCTCCATTGCTGTTGTAAGCAATCAAAGCTACCTTTCTCCAGGCTTCTCCATCTCCACCAGGGATACCACCACAGCCATCCTAGTGTCGCCTAACGGCGCCTTCTCATGCGGCTTCTACAAGGTGGGCGCCAATGTCTTCACCTTCTCCATCTGGTTCACCAGGTCAAACAGCAAGACCGTTGCCTGGACGGCCAATCTTGATGCCTCGGTCATCGGAAATGGCTCCAGGATTGTCTTCCAGAAGTTCGGGAGCTTAGAACTCCTTGACTACTATGGCGCAGCCATATGGAGCACCAACACAGCTCATGCTGAAAGTGCAGTGCTTCTCGACACAGGCAACCTTGTCATCATGGATCAAGGTGGACGTCGCCTCTGGGAGAGCTTCGACTCGCCGACACACACACTTCTGCCATCACAGTTGATGACCACAAATACTAAGTTGGTATCTACATCTGGCAACGGTTTGCTCTCTTCAGGCTTCTACACCTTTTACTTTGATAGTAACTACACGTCGAGGATTATGTACAATAGAGATGAGATTAGCACCAAATATTGGCCTATACACAACCAATCGTGGGAGAAAGCTACGACCAGTAATATCAGGAACCAATACTGTGGTGTTGATGACAATGGCACTTTTGTCGCTGGTGACCAGCTTAAAGTTGAAGCCTCTGATCTTGGTGAAGGTAAAATGAGAAGGTTGACTCTGGATTATGATGGCAACCTTGGGATGTACAGTCTAGACATGACCAGCGGCAATTGGTCCGTCTCTTGGATGTTGTTCACTCGGCTATGTGAAATACATGGCCTGTGTGGCGTAAACAGCCTATGCAGTTACAGACCAGAGCCTGAGTGTTCTTGTCTTGAAGGCTTTGAAGTGATCGACCCAAGAGACTTGAGCAAAGGGTGCAAGTGCAAGACAAATAGTGTAGCCAACAAGGAATTTACATTCCAAGAACTTCCTGGAACAGATTTCTGGGGGTACGAATTAAACTACAACATGTCAATGCCATTGGAGAACTGCTGGAAGATCAGCTCAGACAGTGTTAGTTGCCAAGCATTTGGTTACCGTGAGGGAACCGGTCAATGTTATCTTAAGATCTTGCTTTTCAGTGGAAAGGAATTCCCAGAACCCTACAATGATATATATCTGAAAGTTCCTGAGGCGACATTTTCATTGCCAGTATTTCCTTCTAGACAAAGCCCTGTCTGCGGAGTTCTTGAAAATGTGGCATCTTCTATAGCAATTCCTCCTCAGAAAGAGTTCAAGTATGGCTAATTCATTACTTGTGCATTGACACTGCTTGTTGTCGAAGTCATATTAATCTTAGTTGGGTTTTGGGTTATTCACAAATGGGGAAAAGGACCAGAGACTACAGATGTAGGGAGCATGATACTTTATGGCAAGTTCTGCAGGTTCAGCTACAAGGAGTTACAGAAAGCAACTAATTGTTTCCATGAAGAGCTGGGAAGTGGTGGGTCAGGAGTGGTTTACAAGGGAGTCCTCAGTGATGAAAGGAAGGTCGCAGTGAAGAAGCTAAGTGATATTATCCAAGAAGAGCAAGAGTTCAGGTCTGAACTTAGTGTCATTGGAAGAATATATCATATGAATGTGGTGAGAATATGGGGGTTTTGTGCTGAGAAGACTCATAGGCTTTTGGTTTCTGAGTTTGTTGAGAATGGTTCTTTAGACAAGATTCTGTTTCATAATATGAACTTATCTCCTAGTCTGACATGGAGCCAAAGGTACAACACTGCACTCGGCGTAGCAAAAGGTCTAGCCTATCTCCACCATGAATGTCTTGAATGGATCGTGCATTGCGATGTCAAACCAGAGAACATACTATTAGATGAAGACTTCCAGCCAAAACTTGCAGACTTTGGGTTGGTGAAACTATTAGGCCAAGGAGCCGGGGCACAAATGTTGTCAAGAGTTCATGGGACTAGAGGCTACATTGCACCTGAATGGGTTCTAAATCTTCCAATCACTGGCAAGGTCGATGTTTACAGCTACGGAGTAGTGCTTGAGTTAGTGATGGGTACTCGGGTTTCCAGTCAGGTGGTACAGGGTGAGGGCAAAGTGGAGGTGGAAATGGCTGTTGGACACTACACCAAAATTCTTAAAGAGAAATTGGCAAGCAAAGATCAGTCATGGCTCCTGGAGTTCGTTGACTGAAGATTGAGTGGAGAGTTCAACTATTTACAAGCAGGAATGATGCTAAAGATAGCAGTTTCATGTGTGGAAGCGGAGAGGAGGAGAAGACCAAACATGAGCCATGTGGTTGAAACTCTGGTTTCACTAATGGATTAATATCTCGTGGCCTCAGACTGCTACTTTCACTAGTTAGGCGATGTGCTTATGTAAACAAAAGCAATGGTGTGCTATTGCACAGCAAAGTAAACAAGAGCTGGGATTAATGTCTAGTGATCTGAGACTGCCACTTTTACTAGTCAGGCAATGTGCCTTTGTAATCGAAGTAATGGTGTGGAGTGTGCAAGCAAAGTAAACAATAGCTGCATTCCTATGTTATGCAATTTATGTATGATGCTGCAATTCTATTAACACGGAATAGTGCTGTTTCCTTTAGCTAGTTTGCCTACATACTTTGTTTTACAATGAAACGCATCAGATCCCATTGTAACTTTACATTATATTTCTTGAAGCAATAATTGGATCATAACAAGAAAGAATATTAACTCTATTGCAAAGAGATCATCACTAATAAGATGCCTCAGATGATAGTATAATTCATTTTCATAACTTTGTTTATTGATCAAGGTAACAAACTAAATAAGTCAATCTAAACACACTATATTGATCCAAAAGTGCACAGATTGTTCAGAAGATCACCTTTGCTAGGTTGGCATTGGCCGAGCCCTGGAACATCGCTGCTGCCGATGCACTCAAGCATCATCTATCTTGTTTCTGAATTGCCCCCAAATCTTGCTCATCATCATCATCCGGGGGTTGCCAATGCAAAGTAAAAAAACCCAATTCATAGTGACATATTGCTGCTAATGCAGTCTGCAACACCAATGCAAGCCCACCAACCTTCAAATCCTTCGGCTCCAGCACCACTGAACCCTGACCCTGACTCAGAATTGCTCTAGACCCCAAGATAACTCTCCGCAACCTAATCCGGTGTCAATGCAAGTTAATCCTCCCCATTCGCCAAGCGTTACGCACGCCACAGCTGCACAGGGAGTCGGGGCCTCTCCTTTACGCAGAGCCGCGTGATGGCTCCTCATTCCTCAACCCATGAAACTTTGAGCTCCGGCTTCGCCCTCCGGCCGGCACGGCCGCACGGGCGGACCATCGACCCCGGTAAAGGCACCAAATACTGCGTGGAATCAAATGACATCCTGGGCACCGTGAGGTGTGTGCGGCAGCTGCAGAAGCGAGGGGTGAGGGTTACGAGCAGGAAGCTGGAGGAGGTATCCGCAACTATCTCCGCCGCGAGAGCAAAGTGGCCAGCGGGGACGAGGAGAATATGCTGCTAGGCTATAGTTGGCCAAATGGACCGTCCGGCACGGCACTGGCACGAGCACGGACATGGACACATTAGATTAGTTATGTCGTGTCTTTTAGTGTCGCCGTGTCGAGGTACCTGCTTAGTCATGACACTATTAGGTTTTAAGCTGTGTCTTGCCGTGCCACTAGCTATATGGTACGAGTGGCCCAAGAGTACCCGTGCTGGCGCTGGCACTGGCACTGGCACTGGCACTATAAGTGCCTAACACATCAAATTGATCAGAATATTAGGGACAATAACTTTATCATCTCAATCTTATATGTTCTTAAAGTATCAGAATATCATAATAACTTCATCGTCTCAATCTTAACTTCATCATCAGAATATCAGAGAACTTATCAAAGACTCAAAGTTACATATTCACATAGAATTGATATTAACTTGATCACTGAAACACATAGATCACATAATCACACAAACACAGGAAGAGATAACAAAATAACTTTTTATTGGAAGCTTTAGTGCAATGGCAGCCTTATTAAAAACCTGTCTAGGTAAAACTCATCCTTGTGAGAAACCCTAGCCAGAAAAAAAAGTACAGCCCATCTCCAATTATAAAGTTCATCAAAGTCCAGTCCATAGTCTATAATATTACAGTCCCATTATATAAATGATAACTAATTAAGATAAAGTTCTTCAAATGCTTCTTCAAGCTCCTTGTCCTCCACCATGTGTTGCAGCCGAGCTTCAGCAGCCTCCCAATCTTTGATGCAGGTCAGCATCTCCACCATTTCAGGCTTTAGCTTCCTCCGCCGCTCCTAGATGATCCTACAAGTCATACTAAAAGTGGATTATAAAGATATGGTTGAAACAGAAATAGTTAAAATATCTTTAGCCATCATTGACAGCACTAGATATGTGAGTTTGTGCTGATGCCATCAATCCAAGATATTAAAATCATCATCTAAATGGTTCACGGTGTCACAGTCCAAGTAAGAAACAAGTTTAGAAACATTAGACCCTGAAAACTTGCAGCCTGCAGTAGGGCAGTTGTAGCTGTATCTCTAGCCATGATTAGAGTAGTAGCTGCAGTATGCATACCACCAGCATCACCAACATCACCGTCATCATCATAAATTTCATCCCAAGCAGACCTTTTTTTATGAGATAGGTTAGGAGGGGTAGTCCTCCTCAACCTAACACCTCCATATTTCTCCTCATACCTATTGTAGACATCAGTAAGTTGAGCTCTAGTGCCAACCTGGTAAGCACTATAATCTGCACTAGTAAGGGTACCCAACCTCCTAAGCACTAATGAAACATTTCATTTTAGCTCTAGGTCCAGGATGAATACAAAAGAATAAAGCAAAAGTATGTTCCTTCAGTATTTATTATATTTGTCTATCATAGGTTGAACCATATGTCTGATGTGATTATCATTAGCATAATTCTTTAGGTGCATAGCAATCTTAACAAGATAATGAATCATAAGTGTAGATGTAGGATAGTACACACCAGACAATGCAACTGTAGCATCATAAAACAGTTCAAGAAATTTAAGCACTTTTTCTGTCATACTCCAATGGTCATCAATTAAAAGCAATTGACCACCTTCAGTCCTAGGATATTGAGCATGGATGAAAGTAGTGAATGAGACCTTATGTGGAAACAAATACTTAAGCATTAGGTATGTAGAATTTCACTAACTTCCATGTTCAGTTGAAATTTTCTAGGCCTAACATCAGTGGCAATCCAGTAACTTTTATATGCAGTAATTCTCTGGTTAGATGAGTGTAAGAAAGTTATTACAATTCTAAATTTTTCAATCAAAGGCTTAAGAGCAGTTAGTGCCTCCTTAACAATCAGATTGATAATGTGACATGCACAACGCTGATGCAAGAACATACAATTAACTACATTGTCTAAATCATCACTATCATTAGATGATGCATTGACCACAACTTTAATACCAAGATATTTAAAAAGAACAGGTCTAAGTTTTTGTATGGCTGATACAATAGATGATGCATTGTCCAAAGTAACAGCAAATACTTTTCTAGTCAAACCATAATCAGCAAGCACAGATGCAACAAGATCAGCAATGTTTTATCCATTGTGGGAACAATCAATAAGCCTAAGACCTCGTCCACTGCTTGATCATCGCAGGGCTCGAGGTAGAGGGACGTGACCGCTTGCCGTTATTCTCTTCCCCGTCCACTGCTTGATCATCGCAGGGCTCAAGGACGATGGGAGCTTGAACGTTACGGCCGAACAGCTCCGTGGGGTCCTCGTGCAGGTCATCCTCGTCATCATCTCTGGCCAACCCGCACAACCGCATCTCTTGGTTGGAACCGACCTCAAGCGTCTCATCGTTGGATCCAGCCATCGCCACTCGTCGGCGCCCCGGTCCCGCAACGGCTTTAGACAAAATAGAGCAAGGGCTAGTAGAGATCGAGGGTTAGGGTTAGGGATTGAGCAAGGGTTAGGTCGACAACGACTTACCTTCAAAGCCAGAGCACCAAAGTCGCCGGCGAGGTCGACGAGGCACGGATCCGGTGAGGTCGACGACGAGGGATGGATCCAGCGAGGAAACCAACGGATCCAGTGAGGAAACCGACGGATCCGACGAGGTCGACGATGAATCCGGCAAGGACAAAGCGAGATCAAGGGTTAGGTTTAGGGATTGAGCAAGGGTTAGGGTTAGGGATTGTGCCAGTGCCAGGCAGCGGTGGCTCCAAAGGACACCGAAGAGCGAGAAAAAGAGAGAAAGTCAGAGGCGAGAGAGGAGAGCGAGTCGCCGACGCGGCGATGCCGACAAACCGAGAGAGGAGAGCAAATGAATTAGGGCGATGGAGCGAGATGCGGCCAGTCAACCGGGACGAGTTTTATACCCCCTATTCCAACGGTCCGATGGGAGCGAGGCTGGAGATTCGATGGAACGGATCCGGTGAGGTCGACGACGGATCCAACGAGGACAAAGCGAGATCAAGGGTTAGGGTTAGGGATTGAGCTAGGGTAAGGGTTAGGGATTATGCCAGTGCCGGCCAGCGGTGGCTCCAGAGGCCACCAGAGAGCGAGAAGAAGAGAGGAAGTCAGAGGCGAGAGAGGAGAGTGAGTAGCCGACGCGGCGATGCGGCTACGCCGACTTGCTGAGAGAGGAAAGCGAGGCGAGAGAGGAGCAGGCGAGACGGCGCTGTGGGGGAGAGCCGAGAGAGGAAAGCCGAGAGCAAGGCGAGAGAGTGAGAGCAAATGAATTAGGGCGATGGAGCGAGACGAGGCCGGCCGATTGGGACGGGCGGTTTTATACCCCCTATTCCAACGGCCGGATCTAACGGTCCGATGAGAGCGAGGCGGAGATCCAACGATGACGAGCTGTGCCGCTGCCGGCCCGACCCATATAGTGTGCCATGCCCGGGCCGGCACTATAGGCCAGAATGGTGGCCCAGGCACGACACTAAGGTCGGGCCGTGCTAGGCACTAGCATGAAGGCCGTCAGGCCGGGCCATTCCTGGGCCATGCTATTTAGTGCTGTGCTTGGGCCGGCCCGTAGTGCCGGGGCCAAATGGCCAACTATATGCTAGGCTACGAGGGGAAGGTGACTTAGAATCTAGAATTATTTTTTTAGTAGAAAAATCTAGAATTGGTGAGGCGGTCAGGCTCAGGCGGATGCAGCGAGGAAGAGGAAGAGATTGAAAGATCGCAG